TAATATTCCAGTGAATTCAGCCTATACATGTGTGTCTATGGCAACATATGCATTATTACGCAACCGTCGCATATTCTCTATTTCTATAAAAAGTTTCATCTATAATGACAGAGCGAGCTCAAACCGACCGATTCCGTTTTTACAATCAGAAACAAATTAAAGATTTATTGCCAATTAAACGAAATAAGGGGTGAAAGAATTAGGCATTATTCGAATACAATTTTTATTTATTTTTATTTTTATTCGAATAATGCCCATCTCTGTGCTCAGCCCACCCACAAAAATAAAACGAAAAAAATACAAAATAAAGAAACAATGAAATAATGAATAAGTGGCGGTTGTATAATGACGTATACGCTACCACGGACACACACATCTAGGCTGAATTCAATGTAACAGTACCGGAATTTTTCTTGTTAATATCTCGGAAAGTAGTCGTCAGGTAAATTAAAAATCATTGAATAAAAAAAATTTGAAAGTAATCTTTACGGTAGCAAACGTACCTGCAATTTTATGGTAATCAAATATTTGTTGAAAGTGTAGGTCTTCAACGGTTCGCAATGGTGTCATTGAATGAAGAATATAGCTAGTAATGTGAGTATCAAAACCTTCTTGCGATATTCTTTCCAGAACTCATTTTTTAAAATTTATATACTGTATATATTCCTCTAATATGGCACAACTATGACAGTTCTTTACATGTGAACGAAAATTCGAAGTTAGGTTAATTTCTTCTTTTACTTCCACATGCTTCGGTTTGCACTTAATATAAACAGCAACAATATATTTTTCACTCGTTTTCGCGGAAACGATAGAAAAATATGTGCCGTCGAAAACAGATAATCATTACCACATACAGTACACGAAAAAAGATAGAATGATAAGAAGGGATAAAGATAAATTAGGCTGAAATAAAAAAAAGGCAGAAAAGACAGGAGCGATAAGACAGATAGGAGACCGACAATATAAGACACAAAACTGAAAACTACTGACTGTTGATATGAGACACTTTTAATACGAAATAGCTTTTCTTTATCAGTGTGCATAACTTTGATGTAACGAAGATCATAAAAACAATAGAAAATTTAAATACAATACTTACATAAAAGAAATTAATAAATGTATAGATCTGTGGAACGCCGCATCACAACCAAAGTTAGCCGAAATAATAGAGTGACCAAATGAGTGGCAAGATCTACTGGCACGAGGCGGCCGATCTAATATGCGGAACTGGACTTCGACCGCTCGTTGGATCGTCCACATTGCGGCAGTTGAGCAAAAGACAGCGGCCAGCATGCCGGTGTACATTACTATGAATACATTGTAAAGCTATAATAAAAACGATTACTCAACTTTTATATTTCTATTTTTTTATACATGAAAATTTTTTCAATATATTCGTCAGACTCTTCCAATTAACCCTTAAATGCATGATTTTTTGTTTTGAATTTTAAAAAATCGTTTTTTATAGGAATGTAATAATAAGTATGTATGAATGTAGTTAATAATAGTAGAGTAAAATGTAGAATGTAGTTAAATAAGTCATAAATAAAAAAATCTGGGTAATAATATTGAGTATTTATTTTGAAAAAAAGTTGTATGTAAACTTTTGGCAACAATATGCGTTTATTACTCAAATTATTGTAGACGTAAACAAACGGTCATGTATTTATTATTATCTATTAGTATAGGAATTTTCACATTATTTATAAATGAAATGCAGCAAAGCAATTGCGATTTTTGTTGTGACACAAAGCAACCTTGCATTTGATGCACTCAGTCCGTGAAATTCGAAAAAAGAAAATATCTCTCCAAGTAACACATTGAAGGTTATCACCCACCACATTCAAATGTCAAAAAACGTATAACTTACTCGCCAAAAGTAATGTCAAGTCTTTTATTTCACACATGGTCTATTGTC